CAGGAAATGAAGATAATGTCTGTTCTATGTTATGATTGTACTGTACAATTAAATACAATCGTTGCTGAGTCTGCATTCTGAAAACTTTACCTCAGATCATCATCCGTTAACTAAATGAATTGAGAATCTCACCATCTAATAACACCAGCAATTGTCATTCAAGTAGCTGATTTCTGTAAATGAATGCAAAACTAAATGCATATTGAAGCATAGGGCGAAGTCAGGATTCATTAGCAATGATTTGAGACAAAAATAATTAAAATTTTATAAAAAAAAAAAACTATGTAAATGGCGCTCTGTGGCGCAGCAGGATTTTGACCACGGTCCTGAGGCGGTCCTAAACTTTCAGTTTAAGGAAAAACACGCATGTAAATGCAACACTTATAGAAATCGAACTTTACCTCACCCATGACAACTAATTTTCGATTCCTGTCTGACTGATTTATCCACGGTGGAGTTGAAAACAACAGTTCCCATCATTCCGCGTTTCTCCACGTCATCATCAAGCAAAGCCGTTGTTGTTGTTTTGAATGTAGCGCCCTCTAGCGGCATCTAAATCTTAGGTATTGTAGCTTTAAGTATACCCATTAAGTATACCCAATATATAAGTATATTGTAAACACAAACTTTTATTTTGGATGCGATTAATCGTTTGACAGCCCTATATATTTGTGTATATATATATATATATATATATATATATATTCTTATATACTATATATATATTCTTATATACTCTCTCTCTCACTCTCTCTCTAGATATATATATATATATATATATATATATATTAATGATTTTTTTTTTGCTGTTTTGAAATGAGCAAAATACATATTCCATTATATTATCTGTTATAAACAAATCTTTCATTAGTGTTGAAGATTTTTTTTTTATGTAAAATCTTTCTTTTCTTGCTGAAAGGGTGGCTCCCGTTCATAGATCCACAGCTGTGTCTTCATTTCGCATTTGAGGGGTTAAGCTTAGAAGTCTGACAGCTTTCTGGAAAGACATGTTGATATATCTTTGTGGTTGAGGGGTAATTTTACAGTATAGAAATTAGAGAGAACGGCAGTTACACATGCACACTCACACACACACACACACACTGAGGTATTGGCATTTTTTGTTGCCAGTGTCTGTAACGGAGAGCAACCAATGCCACAGGGGGAAGAGAAGAGATTCCAGATGTGAGGGGTTTTCAGCAAATGGAAGGGAGGAATTGAGATGGAAAGCTGGAAAATGAAAAGATGATGTTTTGGATAAATTGAGTACAGACTAATCTGCTGCTCTTTTTATCGTATAAGTTATCTCACCTAATTGGTCTCCCCAGCTTTGCTATATTTATCGGCTTTATGCAAAAGTAGAGCAAAATTTCTCCCCTAATATGCACATTTGCATCCCAACTTCACCAGTCTTATGGTGCTAGATGCTCAACACAATATAACATAATGTAGAGCAATCCAAACACTATTGAGATCCATCTCTCTCAATAGTTATATCTTGCTTGTCAGTCTCCTAATCTCCAGGACAACATTATTTCATGCTCAAACGTTTAGCTGGTATGATTTTAGATTGACGACAGAATTCAGGGAATCCTCTCACTTAACCTGTTTCTTTCAGGTTTCTTTGGCATACAGATAGACATAACCGGTCTTAGTCAAGTCTTAGTTGCTTGCTGGGATTTAAGCACAGGAATAAAAAAATGTTTTTTAAATAATTGATAAAAGGCATTTGTTACCTTTAACACTTAATCAAAATGACTACAATGGATCTAAAAAAACAGCATCCACAAAATATATTTGAATATACATTGTCTTCATTGTTGTCATACTGATAAATGTATAACTTGAATGCATTGAAAAGGATACAAGCATTTTTGTGGAAATTTACTTTAGCTATCTTTTAAAATATTATTAAAAATGTCTAAGTTGCAAATTTCTTAGTGCTCAAATATGTGTGTATGCATATAATGTTCACTTACAGAAAGACATGTTTACCTGTTCAGCTTCTTTTAGCTAAAATAAGGAAATTCATTAATAACTTTTTTTAGGACATGCATATGTCGGTACACTTTTGCACAACTTCATTGCTTTTAATTTCCACCTCTGAGATACACTGTTGTAAGTGGATCAACACAACACACTTGTAGCCAATCAGCAGTAAGGGGTGTGTCCACTGATGATGGGGGAGGAGAGAGAGCGAGCAAGAGGGAGATTTGAAGACTGACTGTAGAAAGGGAAATGGCTGAGAGACATTACAAAAAAGAAAGGGTCAGAGGAATATCACTGGAAAAAGAAAGGTTATGATCAGAAATGAGCTTTAAGACCCGTGTTAATATTAGAAAAGCTTTCCAGCACTGGAGAGAGTGAAGAGGGAAGGCCTGAATACGGATGCTGAGATTTGTTAGTGTCTGCACCATACTTGAGTATCATTGGTTTTGCTATGTTTCTCAGAATGAAGATATGCTGGTGTTGTAATTTTAGCTACAGTACTAGTGTCATTGTTCTTCAGCTATGATAAAGAGACATCCACAATTGCATTTTTGGGGCAGAGCAATGAAGGGAGGAGTTTGGGTTGATTTCAAATGTCAATGGTTTTTCTTAGAAAAGGCTTACTGCACCTTAAATAATAAATATGTTTTTCGAAAAATTTTGTGATTTTTTTTTTTTAAAGTCCGTTTCAGCCATCTTAAAATATTATTGGAAGCGCCCAAATTGCTTTGGGACTATGTATATAAAATATATTTAGATTTTATCAGTGATGTTGTTTACTCTGTTTCAAAGATATTAAGGAGTTTTTGACTTGGAAAGAGAAATGGCAAGTCTTTAAAGCATCCATGATGAATGTCTTGCTCCATTTAGTGACTAAACATGGCATATATAACTCAATCTCCCACAAGAGAAGGGCTGTAATTATTTAAGCTTGCCAAAAAGGAACACAGAACCATGTGCTTCTACATGCCAAGTTCACTACTTGATTCCCTACACTTTTTTTACTCTATCATACTTATATTGTCCAAAGCAAGCAGATTGTAATACAATGAGGAACAAATAGATGCAAATGGTCTGAGTTCATTATTCTCATGAAACATAGATGAGCCACATATTTAAAGGAAGGGATATGGGCTGGAAGAATGGTTATTTTAAAGGCAGTTTGAAGTTTTGAAAGAAATTGCAAGCACATTATTTAGAGTAGTAGTGTAATAGTCATTTTAGTTGGAACAAATTGAATGAACTTGTATTCACAGTATTGTATTTAAAGTGTTTATTTTGTCTGTGACATTACAAGGGTCACTTCTTCTTCTTTTTTTTTTTAATAATTTGCCTCATGTGATTTTGGGAACATGGTGATTCTCATAAACATTCTTTGCATTTCTCAAGATAGAAAGATGCAATCGGTGATTAAGACGGTATAATGAGCTGTTTGTGCGTGGTGAATCCTCTGCATTTTCTCAATTCAGATCCCAGACTGACAGCTAGAAAGTGAAAGACCAAGAGGACGGGGGTTTTGAATTGAATGGAAAAGAAAAAAGATGTGTTTTTTGAAGATAATTGGGATCATTATTTGTTGCTGGATGGATGCATTATAGTGCAGTTATCACAGCATGTTATCATTTATCTTTACAGACACAGATTTTCAACTCTGGAACTCCTCTCACATTTTGTGAACTAACATATAACTGTATTGACAAAAAAGTTTGGAAATAAGTGTTTAATTGTTTAATATTTAGAATTAAATGTGAAATTCAGACCCTTGAAGTACTTTTAAATCAAATAAGACAATTCTTATTTCTGCCTTTTGCACTCACACACACATACACACACACACACACACACACACACACACACACAAACCACTAAAACAAACTCTGCCTGGCCAAAAAAAAAAAAAAAAAAAACTGTTTGAATTTAAATTGGCAAATGCATACGAGTCTATGATTGGATCATTATTGCAGTTATATGTTTGGAAACAGTTCTTCTAACCCTAATTGATTGAGTGTGTAGCTTTTCATTTACATTTATGCATTTGGCATACGCTTTATCCATAACAAGACATTTACATTCTTATCAGTTCTTGCTTTTTCCCTGGGAATCGAACCCATGACCTTGGCGTTGCAAAACTCTACTGATTGAGCTGCAGGAAAGCTGTACACTCGTATTGTATTTGTATTGTATATCTTAAATGACAATGTAGGAAGACCCATCATGACCACATTCCAGGATGGCAATGTCAAGATTTATCAGAAAATTGTGAAAGAAAAATTAGGCAGAAGCATGAAGAATCATTTTAGCACATGAACTGGCACCTTTGAGTCCAGGCTTTAAAGGGATAGTTCACCCAAAAATGAAAATTCTTTCAGAAGACTTCGTTCATCTTCGGAACACAAATTAAGTTATTTTTTTTATTAAAAATAACTACCAAAACAACATTAAGAATAACAAAAGATTGACACAGCAATATCTTAATTTGTGTTCCGAAGATTAACCGAAGATTAACTTAGATAGTTTTTGGGTGAACTATCCCTTTAAATTTAGAGAAAGACTTTGGGATGTGCTGAAGGAGACTTTACAGAGTGCTTCACTCTTGCTTTTTCAATACAAGAATATTGATACACCTCTTGATGGAAATAAATGTGATATGTTTTTAGGTCTTGAGAAAGAAAACACACGTGTATCAGTGTAATGGATCCGTGCAGGTCTTAAAGTGACAGCAGCCTAATACATCTGTCGCCTAATTATGAGATATTAAAATGTCTATATGGCTGTTTTCTGCTCTATGGTATCGTTCAAATTGTGGCCAGTGAAAATAAAGAATGGCTAGTAACTTTGGAAAACCACTTGCCACATTGGCTGGTGAGCAAAAAAGTTAATGTCAAGTTCTGATTATAAAAAATATATATAATATCCCACATTGAATCTGCACACCCTTTTCACATTTTCTGACTAATGAACCAAGTAAATTCTCTTTAGTAGCTGACTTCATATGTTTGTGTATTTCGCAGGTGTTTTAAGTGCTGCCGAATGCTCCTGTGGGAGAAATCACTTCACATGTGCGGTCAGTGCATTTGGCGAGTGCACATGCATCCCGGCGCAGTGGCAGTGTGACGGGGACAATGACTGTGGAGATCACAGTGATGAAGACAGCTGCAGTAAGTCTTTTACCATGCACGTTCATGAGAATACAATAGCAACATAATATATCGTAAAACAAATACACACACATGCATTTATTCAAAGGCAATTTTCTCTGAGGTAAAATTGTTATTCAGTCTTTTGCTTTGACTACAAAAGTTATTTTAAAAGGCAGTGTACGTGTATATGTTTGTTGAAATATCTTTTTTTTTTTCAATTGTTGTAGTATTAAGCACACTTCAAATGATTTTCCCATTTATTAGTCAAAAAGGTTTGCAAACTTGTTCTGATTTGGTTTGCGATTCAGTCTAAAACATTTGCAAATTTCAGCTTGTAGTGGCTTCTTGGTCCTTAAAACAGTGACGCGATTCTTTTAAACACATAGAACAAAAGAGCTCTAGGATTAAGTGAGAATTTATCTAAAATCAATTAAAATTGATTGTACAATTGAATTGTACAAATTGAATACAATTGAAATTGATTGTACATCACAAAGTGCATTTACATGCACTTTAAAAGTCAATTTCAGTCTGACTATCAGTCATATGTCTTTTTAAAATGTCATGTTAATACTTTAGCATGACTGAAATTGTAGTCTGAGATCGAAGTCCATTTATTAGTGAAATATGACAAACAGATCTGCATAATGCAGTTGTTAACAACCCATGTGGAAAAGATAGTTTACTTTTTATAAAGAGTACTTAGAAGTACTTTTAAAAGAATATGCCATACTTAGTGTGAACAGTGTAAGGGTTTTGGACACTTGACATGAAAGTCATACTTACATTTATATTAAAAGCAATTAGCTGAACATTAGAGGGTTTTTGGCACTTAATTGGCTTTATGCCCAGCTGCACTACTTCCTGAACTTAAGCCAGCTCCTTTGTTTCCTGTCTGCCATTATTGGACAAATTGATTAATTCAGGTGTGCTTGACCTCAGTAGTCACGGCAACAATAATCAGACACACCTGAATTAATCAAGCTTGGCCAATAATGGCAGACAGGAGCAAAGGAGCTGGCTTAAGTTCAGGAAGTAGTGCAGCTGTGCATAAAGCCAATTAGGACTTAAGTATGTCTAATTTCATAATTACTTTGGTTGTCTTTGAAATATGTCGAATGTACTGACAAGGATTTATGGTAAACTAAAGTATACTTAAATGCAATTTATATTTAAAACATATGTCATGTAATGATGAAGATGCAATTTGGTATATTTAAAATATATTAAAGGGGTGATGAACTGAGTTATCAAATTTTCCTTGAGCTTTTGACATCTAAGAGGTCATCATATTATAAGAATATCCTGTAAGTTTCAGAACTGAAAACGTCCTTGTTAGTCCAATAAAAGCTTTTAATGACACCAGGCTCCACAAACAACTTGTTTTTCAAAGTGGGGAACTATGACGACAAAGAGGATAAACACCACCCCTGCAGAAGAAGATCAACGCCTACTTCAACACGCCCGGTTTAGCCCCGCCCACCGATTCGTGCATTACACGTATAGCTAAATAACATAGGCCTACCTCGTGATGACAAACTGGATCGAGCTACAGAGCAATACAAAATATGTGCCTGGTTGTGGAAGAAGACAGTCGCTGCATAAGCCAGTGAGTTGAAACTCATTATAATATGCAAAACTGTTATCCACTCACAGCAGTGGGCGTTTACTTGCAAGTCTTCAATGTGAGAAGTCCACCGAGCGTTTTTGAGCTGGGCTCAAAACTAGGGTAGAAAATAGCCTATTACTTATTCATTGTGATATTTTTTTAATGTAAAAACCAAGTGAATGTCATTAGCTGACCTCAGAAAACACTAAAAAAAAAAAAAAAAGTTAAAAAGCCATTTCATGACCCATTTAAATGCAATTTTAAATATATAACAAAACAGTTAAAATTAGAATTAAATGTTTCACCGAAAATAAGTGTTCTTTAAAACGCAACAAAAAAATGATTAAAGCTTTTAATTTGACCTTATTACAAAATTAATCATTTAATATTTTGTACACTCTTTAAGTGCACTTAAGTGGCCTTTTATTTCTTAAAATTCTGTTATTTGCAAGTACAGTTTATTAAAAATATACTTGTACGACAAGTGCGCATTCAAGACAATTAAGGACACTTCTTTTTCACAAGAAATGTTTCACAGTGTGGCACAAAAGGCAAAATTCAGGAAGCCCCTGACATCATTCTGCAACAGCACAATAGCAAGCATTTTTTTTTTAACCGCACCAATGCCTGGTTCACAAACTGCACCTGACAGGGCTGAATGACGCTGTGGAGGGTGATGTGCTCAGCTGAGCGTGTCACTCTCTACTGGGCTGTATAGAAGTCTTCTACCCTCACATCAGGACACTTACTCCAGGAGGTTCAGAACAACCACCAGGAAAATCATTAAGGACCCTCACCATTCTAACAATGGCCTCTTATCAATGCTGCGTTCAGGCAAAGTCTACTGTAGTCTGAAAACACAGAAAGACTTAGGAGTTTCTTCCTCCAAATTCCTTTTGAGGAACAAGACTGAAGAGATTTCTACAGAACACACACAGTCATACGTAACATAACCATGCACACACATTTCAATGGACATATACTCATATAGGTATATACGTTTTCTGCACAGGTTGTTTTACATGAACACACCTCGGCAAAAAAAAAAAAAAAAAAAATAAAAAAATGGCTAGCCTTTGATGTCACAGAAAAACATCAGACAGAATGAAGATGATTACTGCTCATTCAAGTGTGCAAACATTTGAAAATAACAAAATATACTAGGGATGCACGATATATCAGCCAGCATATCGGTATTAGCCGATATATGTTCATTTTTAATGTTTTCATTATCGGCCTGGTAAGAAAATGTGGCGGATATATTAAAGCCGATAAATAATCTATTATTCCCTTCAGCTGAGACACTTGTTGAGCACTGTTTATATTTTTGATTTTCTTGAAATATTAATGAAATCTCTTTAAAAAAATGAAAATATGGTTCGGTACAACATGTGCACCGCAAATCTGTCATATTGTCTATACTACTCTATAATAAGAACATCATTATAATCGTGTGCTTGGGACATGGATTTAATTGTGAGACTTTTGTTTTTGTAATGAGGCTCTCAAAATTAGATAAAAATTTGGATTTAAATTTATCGGCCAATATATCGGTTATTTCAAATATAAAGTATTATCGGTTATCGGTATCGGCCAAAATTTCCATATCGGTGCATCCCTAAAATATACCATATAGTATTTAAAATGAGGGGAAAAAATGTGTAGACAAATATAAACATACAAAACAGACGTCACACCAGGTAAAAAGTGTCAAGCAAACATACTAGTTTTACATAATCTGAGACTCCTACAGCTGCAGAGAAGATGCTTGGGCATTAATTTGTGTTATTTTAATACGTTTATTTTTTACTGGACACAATACTGTATGAGTATTTCATACAACGGGTTTAGCAGCTCGTCCTTTTACAGCAGATTTTTTTTCACAATTTACTACAATTAATCCTAAAATTCTGCATTAATAACCCTACTTTTCGCACCATCAGTCACACACGCTCTCAAGCGCCAAGGATCTCCCATTTTTAGCACATTTTGAGTCAGGGGTACTGTATGTCAACTGGGCAGAATCATTTGAATCAGTGAGTTGTTGAGTTTGAACAGATGTAGTCAGATCAGTCCAATTGCATGAATGTATGTATTATACATTTGTCAATTAAAGGGTTAGTTCACCCAAAAATGAAAATTCTGTCAGTATTTACTCACCCTCATGTTGTTCCAAACCTCTATGTGTTTATTTGTTCTGCTGAACACAAAGGAAGATATTTGGAAGAATGTTTTAATCAAACAGATCTCATTCCCCATTGACTACCATAGTAGGAAAAAATACATACTATGGTAGTCAATGGGGAATGAGATCTGTTTGATTAAAACATTCTTCCAAATAACTTCCTTTGTGTACAGCAGAACAAATAAACACATAAACAATAAACACAGAGGTTTGGAATAACATGAGGTTGAGTAAATACTGACAGAATTTTCATTTTTGGGTGAACTAACCCTTTAACAACGATTTATTTTCATATGTTCATAATTCATAATTATTTAGCATTCAGAATGTCAGAAGTTGAAAAATGTTTTTGCCTTTTTTAATTGCTCTTAATTTGATCTCATTCCTTCAGTTTTGCCCACGTGCTCGCCACTAGACTTTCACTGCGACAATGGAAAATGCATCCGACGCTCATGGTTATGTGATGGAGACAATGACTGTGAGGATGACTCCGATGAACAAGACTGTCGTGAGTAAATTTCTCTTTTTTAAATATAGTTTATACATTAAAATAAAATGTTGTTTGGTGCATGGTATTTGTTGTTGCCAAGACTGCAGTGATGCTGTGCTGAACTGCAATTCTACGTTTTACATTTAAATAGTTCAAGTATATTTAATTCATTTAAAAGCGGCAAGCTCTTTTAGCCCTGTATTATTTCCAATGAACAAGAAGAAAATGTTCAAATAAATATTTTAGCGAGTTGATACCCACCCGTCTAAAGTGAGTGTAAACAGGCAGGACAAAAAATCGGATCTCGTCAAAAGATCAGATCTGTGCATTAAGAGTGACATCCTAAATTATGTGTGTTTTTCCCTAGACCACACATTATTTGTAGCTCACTTCCCACCCAATAATACGAGCGTTGTGCTCTGTTATTTCTGATTAGAAACAAAGTCTCATTTCATCACGAAAGTCAAACAATAAATTTGACAATTTTTAGATTTGACACCTCAGTTCAAGCAGCTGAGTACTGTATGTATGCTGGTGTATGTATGCATGTATAAATGAACAGTATGTCTATCTGTGAGTGTGAGGCA